ACTGGGGCTCCCCGAGTCTCGCGGCAGAGCCACTTATTTGTATTGATTATTATTTTAAGTGTCTCCCTTCTTCCCCTTTCTCTTTCAAGCAAATGCACATTGTGGGGGATGGCTGCCCAAGCCTGGGGGGCTGCTTGCTGCTAATGAACCGAGATGCTGTCTTCGCCGGTGTAAAGGCTTAACTCAAACTGAACACACCGCGACGCGGCAGATTCCAGTCTCCAAAGGCTGGTTAGTGCGCGTGTGTCATCGGTGAAGCGTCTGAGCCTCGAGCATCTCAATTTTAATTAGCATCATGGTTGCCGGTTCCACCGAAAGGCCGAGAAAACGAACTAGCCTGCTCCCCGAGAGAACCGATTAGCTGCACGCCAGGCCCCTCCTTCTCTTGCCTGCTGCTGCTCCGTAGAAATAAATTTTCAGAGCAACCCTTGAAAGAACAGAGTAGCCTGAGAAGTCCTTCGCTGGAGGAAATACACACGGAATTATTCAGGTGCGAAGAGGCGAACGTCTGCAGCTTATTCTCAAATGGTCCAGGAGAGAAAGAACACGTGCATGTGTGACTGTCCACGCGCACCCCGAGAGAGGGAGGCGGTGAGCAGGATAAAGAGGTGGCAAGATGTCACCCCCAGGGCTCTGGGCAGAGGGCAGGCAGCCATTCTTTATACTGATTTTGCAACTCTTCTGAGCTGCAATGCAATTTCTAAAATCAGAAATTCTTGCAAGATAAGCTGGGGGAAAAGGAACAATACACGAACTCTGGTGATTTAACCATCATCAAACTCTCTCACCACACCAGTGGCCCCATGAAATCAAGGACTTCGAGGTGACCAGGGCAGGCTGTGGGGGGGTTCTTGGCACTTGATCTTTTGGGCTCTAGCCTTGAGGTGCATGACGACCCGATAAAGTGTTTCCATCCCTCCCTTTGGATAAAATATATCGCGATGTCTCCAGAAAAGCAGGCCTCTGCCCACGGCGCTCTCTGCTCATCTGTTAGCTCTGAGATAGATCTGAGGGGTTAACTTCTACATCCATTTCTCTCCAGAGACCTTCTAAGAAAGAAGGGCGAGTGTTTTGGGCCTGCCTGCTCTTTGGCTCTGGGTGCTAGTGGACAGGACTCAAAAGAAAAATCAGCTAACTGCCCTTCTGATATTTGTGCAAACTGTATTTATCGCCGGCAGGAGAAACGGAAGGCTGTGCCCGGCATTTTATTCAGATGGAAAATAAATCAGGAAAAAGACTACAAAATTTGAAGTGACACCGGATCAGAATCTCAGGCCCAAATGCGTGCCTCTGAGGGCCCGCTGGCTGGCCCAACACGCTGGCCTTTTTCCAGTAAAGCAGAGGAAAGGACTTTCTCCTTTGGCAAGTGCTCGGGACGCTCAGCCAAGCGGGCTGGCTGCCAGCACCACCTCGTTTACCGATGCCACGAGATGCAGCCTGAGCCCTCTCATTTCTCACTGAACATTAGCATTTTCAGGGGTGATATCATTACAGAACATAAAAAAGCTTCTTAAATGGGTTCTCCTGAACTTTAGTCAGCCCCTTTGTGATGGCTAAGTTTGTGGCTCAGGATATGAGGCTGATGGTCCTGTGTCTAGGGGGTGGTGGAGGCTCTCCTTGACGAGTCACTGAAAAGCTTTGCATTTTTCCCATAAAGAAGAGCTGCTTGGGGGGCTCCCCTCCAGGAGAGCATGACCAGGCGCCAGTGGTTTTGCTTCTGTTTTACACAAATCAGCACACCAAAGGCTCTACCTTCAAGTGTTGTCCTGTCTTCTAGAAATTTGTCTTCCTTCACAACTGCCCACAGTGGCCTTCTGGGGACACAGTTTCTGCTGGACTGGGCTCTCTCCCCTCGGGGGCCCTTGCAGCTCAGAGCCTTGTCTCCCTGCTTCCCCTTCTGCACCTGGCGTGTGAGCAGGTGGGCCTCTGAGCTCCCAGACTCACCTCCCCAAGGGAGCTGGCCATGGCCCTCATTCCCCACGCCGGCTACTCTCTCGCTCCTTTCTGTGTGACTTCAGAGAGGATGCAGGCCGTGGCCCTGCTGCGCACACCCCAACCCAGCAGCGCAGTGAGCTGGGCGGTCACGCGTGGAGAGGCTAAGCATGGAGTGGCCTGAGGGTCAAGGGCGTGTGAGCAGTCTGCTGCGGTGTTTTGGTCTATTCCGGTGATGTTGCTCTGGTTGGCAGAAAAATGAAAAAGACAGGACACCCCAGGGACCCCGGGTCCTGCGGAAGAGCTCCGTGGCTGTCTGGTGACAGATACTTCTTCTACTCTTCAGGGAGCCAGTGAGTCCAGAATAATCTTTTGTTGGCGATTCAACCAAAAAGTTAAAAATAAAACACAGACAAGACTCCTGAGCTTAAAGCACAAGCTTGACCCCTGGAAGTGCCCGCCAGCAGCGGTGGGCATCTGGGGTCTTGATTTCATGGGAACCAGGGGCAGCTGTCCCCCACCTGATGTATCTCAGCACTCGCTGAGGCAGCACTGAGCAAGCCTGACCAACGTGGACAAGCTGAGTGAGCTGGGTGGGAAACACCGCTCAGCGGAGAGAGGCCTCAGACACGGGCTCCTGGACACCAGGAGTCGGAACCCGTGCGAGCTTCTCGTCGATGGCCTCGGCCGGTCTCTGTGACATGACCCAATGTCTGCAGAGACTTTTGTCTGCCATGAATTTAATGTGTGCACGCCTTTCGGCTTTTTAATTAGTGTGGGATCAGGGAACTACACTCTTTGGCAGTAAAGCTAGGTGGCCACATAGAGGAGTTGTTTTATGGATGTTGGCTCTCCGTGCCAGGGAAACCCTGCAGCCTCCAGGAAAGGTTGGCCATGGCTGCCCTTCAGTGTAAACGCTCGTCAGGGTTGGGCTGCGTGGACTGTTTCTGGGGTTCAGTCTGTCCATCCTGCGTGGCTCCATGAGCACAGAGCCATGTCCGGGGAGGCTGCTGGGGCGCGGTGAGTGTGCCTGTGTGGAATGTGGCCACAGCGGGGGAACAGGAAACTGGATGTCCCGGGACAGAACTTTCTACTCCATCTCTTTGCCCCTGACTCTCTGCTGCTCCCTGCATCAAGCCGCAGCAGAGGAGGCCTCTTTGTCCTCCTGACCAGAATGCTCACAGGCGGCTTTTCCCACAGAACCTTCTGGCCTGGTCCTCTGAGAGTTCCGGGCTGTTTCCTCACAGCCAGAGGCGACGCGTTCTTTCTTTGATTTTCATCAGCAGTCAGTTAAAAACCAACCAAATGGTAGCACCGCAGGAGTCAGCAGGAAGCACCTCATGGGGCTTAGCTTCCAGCGATTCCCGACTCCCGTGGCCCACAGCAAATAACCTGCAGCCAGGTGACCTGTGTCTCCCCGCACCTGAACTGAGGACCGTGGTGTCCACCGAGAGAGGGAGAATGTGCCAATGGACAATTTCTCCTGAAAATAAGGCGAGGATGAGTAGGAGAAGATGTGTTTTACTGTTGACTTTGCGGCGTCTCATCTCTCTCTGCGCTGGGACTGACAAGCGAGTGCCCCCGGCTCAGCCCTTAATGCAGCGCCCGCGTGTCTCTACGCTGTTTCTGCGAAGAAGCTAAGCCGAACATAAGAGACTATTGTGTTCTTTCCAGATTTTAAGGAGGCTGAATAAATATGAAAGGGAAAAGAGAAAATCCCAGAAGAATTTTCCACTAAGGCCATTTATCACTGTTTCCACCCCGTAAAACCAGGCTTTGCAGATTGCAGGGCAGGGCTCGTGGGCACCGCAAGTCTGGCTACAGAGAAGTGCTGGGGGCCGGCAGCGGGGGCACATGCAGAAGGGCCCCAATTTGAGGTGATGATTCAGGAGGAAGTCAAGTGACCTGATTAATTTTAGTTTTTCTTCAATGGGTGCTAAAAATACCTTGGAAAAATAAAATCAGTAGGTGCAACAACAGCAGTTTTATCCTTAGGGGACACATCAGCATATTTGATGAGGGGGGGCTGCTCTAAGAATAAAGACCCTGGGAGGGTCTCCCTGCCTCTCACGGGGCACCTGTCAGAGGAGACAGAGTTGGGCGGAACCAACACAGTGGAGATGACTGGAGTGAAGTTGCTTTCCCTGTGGTCTTGGGAGCAGGGGCTCTGAGGTGACTCCCCAATACCAGCCACAGGATGAGCCCTCAGACGTGGGCCTTGGGAGAAGCAGACTCCCGGGGCGGCGCTGCAGAGGGCAGGTGCTGAGAGTGAGGACACTGCCCTCTAAGGATGCTCAGCTTATCTCCAGAGAGAGGAACATCTGGACACGTAACTGGCTGCAACCAGCATCCAGAGAACCAGCGCGGCGGTCATGGAGATAGAGCGATGGTGAGGAGGTCTCAGATCCCCTGCCCCCGGCCAGCTGTGTGCCCTTGGGCAAGTCACTCAGCCTCTCTGTCTGTGCCTCAGATTACTCAACTGCAAATACACCCACCTCAACGTGCTTTACCAACTACTTCGTAAACCACTGGAGAACAGGGCCTGGCATATGGAGTTTGGTAAATAAATGGGAATCACATGGGAAGAGCCTCATGAAAGGTGGCCGTGCCAGAAATGGGGCCTGGCACTCTCCTAGCAGCAGGCGCAGCAGGCCAGGGGAGCTGCCCCAGGGCCCATGTCTAAACAGGTGTCTGGGCTGGTCAGGCTGCAGGGTGTGTGTGAGTGCAGGGTAAGCCTGGGGAGGCAGAGACAGGCGAGCAGTTGGCCAGGGACTCTGCTGGTGTAACAGCCTGTGGTGGCGTCAGTCCCCAGAGCAGACCCACCCTGGCAATCGAATCACTTTGAGGGGTTCTCTGCGCTTCCAGTGGGGGGCACAACCGGCACAGACCCCCAGCAGCCTGGCCTGGCCTTGCTTTCCAAGCCAGCAGGAGCCCTGAGCTCAGTCACCTGGCAGTTCTGTTACTCCTGTAGCGGCCCCAGGTCTCTGGCCTCTTCAGAATAAAGGGTGGGTGGGACCCCAGGGATCTGGGGAAATGGGCTCAGGAGACAGCTTGCGCCCCAGACTCACCACTTTGGGCTTGAAGGGCGGCTGGATCTCCCTGTTCTCCAGCTTCTCCCAGTCGATCCTCCGGAAAAAGGCATGCTCCCTGACGTCCCGCTCGCCCTCGGGCCCGCAGCCCAGCCGCTTGCCCGGGTGCTTGGTCATCAGCTGGAAAGGAGGAGGGGAAGGTTCTAGCATGCAGCCTGGAGCCATGGGCGTGAGCACCACCACCAGCAAAGGGAAACCTGGACAGGTCCTCACCAAAAGAAGAAACCATCAGGTGGTGGCGGATGTGCTCAGGCGCCCGAGGCGGGCTCCTTCTGCAACGCACAGTGAGCACGTCGCTGTGAGCACGTCGCGTGACTTAAAAAGGTCACGATTTTATTTATCAATTTTTTGAGCTGAGAAAACAGAAACAAAAGGAACTACCTGTCCCTTCTCCCCTCCCAAAAAAGAGGAGAAATAGAGCAGGCTGCAGAGTAGACTGTCCCCTGCCTGGCCCCACCTGCCTCCCTGCCGCTGGGCAGCGTGTCTGGATGTTCCACAGGCAGCCCCGTGGCTGCAGAGTGAGGTCAACTCACAAACCCAACAGAGACCAACAGAGGCCTCCCGGGGGGGATGGCCAATATAAGGAAATGGGGAAGGATTGTGCCCCACGGCCGAACCCCAGGAGAGTAGAGACAGGTGTCCTCAGCTGCTGTTTTCCACATGTATACAGCAGGCCCCACAGGCCAGCCTCACCCCTGCCGCTGTCAGGAGCCCAGTTGCCTGCTTATAACCTGCGCAGCAACAGTATTCATCGGACTCCTGGGCTGCAAAATTCAACACGTCAAGGAAGCCCACCGGTTGTTCTCACACCTGGTGGACACACGGTCCCTGATCTGGCATGTTCCATCATCTCTCTGAGAAGCGCAGGGAGGGATCCCCTGCCAACCCTTTGGTCCACGATCCTAAGTGGAATCAAGTCTACTTACTCCTTTGCAGATGGAAACGGCCTCCTTGGACAAGGATTTAGGGTAGGAAACGTTGTGCTCCATGATGGACTGGAAGAGTTCGTCTTCGTCTTCGCCGTCAAATGGAGGCTGTTGCGGGAGCGAGAAAGAGGAAAGCGTTAGGCGGAGCAAGGGCGCCTGGAGTCCCAGCACAGCAGAGCGGAGACGCGGCCTTCCCGGCTGTGCCGCCGCGGGCTGAGTCGGCTCAGCAGACGCGTGGGGTGATTTGATTCTCTCTAATTAGGTTGGCGGTTGTGTGTGTTTCACTTTTTCTTCTGTCCCTTTAATTATCTTGCCCTGGGCAACCCAAAACCATCTTTAGGGAAAATGTTTTGAGTAATGCTTTTAATGATTTGCAAATAAATTATAATTAATCCATTAATCTTGTAATTATGTGTTATAAGTCTAATTATGACCAAGTTGGGTTCGGATGGCTTTGTGTTTGGAAGGTGGGGGCAGGTGGGGAAGGCTAAGGCTTCTGGATTCTGAACATGGGGTCGGGGGGATGTCAGAACACAGGCAAGGGGGACCTCTCCTGGCCTGGGAATTCACACCCTGGCCTCTGACCCACTGGGTCTCTGCCCTGCACTGGGCAGTGACGGGAGCTTAGCTTCCACCAGAGGTTGTTACGGTGGGAGGTCATGGCTTCAAGGTCAGCCACATCTGGACCAGAATTCTAGCTCGACTACCTCCGGTAGGTGTCCATAGGTGAGTAATTCACCTTCTAAAACAGTTTTCTGATTTGTAACAGTTTTCTGAGCCCTGGGGAGTTTGTAAAGCACCTGGTCTTGCAGCCAGTGAGGCTGCTAGTGTTAAGGAGGTGGGCCTGTCTTTGCAGGGGGTGCTAGAACCCTCAGGGGGAATGGAGAGCTGAGGGTGCCCTCAAGCTTCCTCCTCTGGGATGTCTTTAATCCTGAGAAGTCTGTCAAGCTACTTGTCACTCCGGAAGGACAGTACACAGGTTAGGTGGGCTTATGGGACATTTCTTAAGGTTCCCCGTGGAGCGTGAACCTGAAGTTTAGTCAGGGGGCAGCCTCAGAGGGAAAGTCCCCCTGCCTGCGCTCAGTCTTGTTGCATTTTCTTTCTCATGGAAAAGAGGATACACAGTCACTGTGGCTGACACAGTTAGGGCTCAGGTAGGGCGTTGGCACGGACCTATGGCAAGCGTGCGGGTGGGCCGTCCCCACTATCCAGCCATGGGGTGGGAGCCGTTGAACACAGCTGAGCTTCCCCATAGCCACCCCTTCCACATACCACCTCACACATCCTACCACAACCTCAGTCCCCCCACCCCCAGCCCACCCCTGAATGTGAGGGGTGTGGAGTCAGCACCTTGGAGCCACAGAGCTGGAGGGAAAGACACTGAGTCTATAAAGAACGCAACCTTGGGGTCAGAAGGACCAGCCTTCCCTGGGCTGAGGGGTCTGGTGCCAATATTTTTTTGGGGTTCCAGAAACCTATATAAATGGGCCTCTTTTTCAGGTGTAAGTACCTGGTGTAAAGACATTTTAACGTGGTTGAACATGGAGAGTGGGGGAAGAGAACTAAAATGAGTCTGCTGTGAATGACTCAGCTGAGAAGGGCCAGCCTGCACCCTGAGTGCGTCTCTGCGGGCAGGGGCAACATGGCACCCAGGGTGCCAGCAAGGTAAGTCAGTCGGAGGCAGAGCCGCATGGGTTGTGTAGGCTGCAGACTGTCACCTGTGCCAGCAGTGGATGCGTCACTTCTGGCTGCTCAGGGTAGGGACTGGGGGCAGCTGCACCTAGCCAAGAGCACCAGTCCATCCTCTACATCTTCTCTGCCCAGTATTCTGCATGCTCTTCCTTCTGAACACCTGTTACATGACATTACAAAGCAGCCCCTCTTCCCTAATAAGCGATCCACATCTGTGGCTGTGTTCTGCGTGTGGAGAATCTAGAACTAAAACCAGCACAATGTGGTTTCTGCTGGGGGAACAACTCCAAGGGGCGCCATTCACTCTGAATTTGCTTTGAGTACAGACTCCGCATGTCACAGGTTCTGCTTCCGGATAACTGTTCGACACCTCACCACGAGGTCCTTTGGGGCCTTCGGTGTCAGGAGGAGGTACATAATTTTCGCGTCTCAGTGCCAAAAGAAAACCTGGGTTCCTTATTAAAGAGTTTCTAAGACGGTAGCCATGCAGCACCAAGCCGATGGTTGGGCTCTTTGGTCTTGGCCTTGGAGCCCAGTCGCACGCCCTGGAAAATGGCTGAACGTGACCAAGGAGAGACAATGGCACCAGGTGGACTCACCAAACTCTCTAGGTCACGCAGGTGCCAGCAGGTGCCAGCAGCTGGAATGCTCCCAGGCTGAGTCAAGCATAATCCAAGTTGAAAGCCTAGGAGACTTTTTTATTTTCAAATTACGATGCATAAATTGGAGCTCCTTGCTTTTCACTGACTGCGGCAGACATGTTTTCCCTGTAGCCCCTGGCGTTCCCGGTCACACCTCTGCCCCCGCGGTGCCAGATCGCCCAGGTGGGCTCGTGTGTCCGCAGGCACTTTACAGCCTCTTCCAGAGCTGTGCTCCAATAACTAATAACTATAAACACTTCTGTGCATATCGTTTTTTTTCTCTGAATTACTTCCTAGGAATAATTTCCCAGGTGTGGGATTAGGCTGCAAAGGATGTGAGCGTTTTGATGGCTCTTGTTAAGTGTCTGCAGGTCACCCCGGGAACATTCTTATAGGTAATTGCTTTCTCCAGGCCTTGGAGTTGAAGGCGAGTCCATGGTAAAAAGTTATTATTAGATTCATTTTCCTCTCCAGAATGCCAGTTACCGAGCCCGGGACAATGGTGGGGGATGGGGGGAGCAGTACATGTTGCCACAGGTCCTCAGTACAAGACCACGGCACCTTTCCCCCCAATTTCCCCAGCACTAGGATTATTTTACCATTTCCATAAATCTGGACTCTGTTTCAAGCTAAGAAACCGGTTAACAAAAGTCTCGGCTTCTTGTAGAAATTCTCTGAACTGGGGGTGCCCGAGCGTTAAGAGGGTCCTGGTCGTAACTATATGTAATTGTGCATTTTAAACAGACAAGGGAGGAGTGATGCGCCGCGCTTTCCAAAATGATCCCCAAATCCCTTCCTAGCGAGTGGCTGTGGGATCCTGCCAGGTTTATGTGCAGATCAGCATGGCCGGGTGTGAGCAGGAGGAGCACCCAAGGGCCACTGAGGCAAAAGTGCTGGGATAAGGCACCCATCATGGATTCAGCAAAGCACCCTGGCAGAAAGGACACAGAAAGCAGGGCGGGGCCCTTTGTGATAAACACCTGTGAACATGGCACCCCGACATGCTCATTAGGGCGTTGGGTGAGCACAATTTATGCCCGAAATCCATCATATTCATCAAGCCACCCAGGCACTGGAGAAAGACTCAGGCTGTTTGTACGTCACTGTCCCCTCGGTTACTGACAGTAAATAAAGCAAATGAGGAGAGCATTGCAATGAACTAGTTTTGCTGCTCATCTTCAGTCCTCTGTGATTAAAGGGGACAACTCTAGACCACGGCCCATCAACAACTTTATAATCAATCCTACTTTTCAGTAACAGCCCCTCTCTCCTGGAGGGTCCCGCAGCTTCGAGGGCTGAGGCTGACATGTCAAGAGAGTTGATTATCCTTTGTGGGCTGGGATATGGTTATGCCAGCCTGGGGGAGTCAGCGGGGTGGGGTGAACATCTCGTGTTGGCACCGGGCACAGGGATGGCCTGGAGGGTGGCCATCATCCGGGCATCCCCTGTGCCGAGGAGAACGTCCTTCAGGGGTCATTTTTTGAAAAGTGCCCCCACTTTCAATAGAGAGTCTGAAAATGACAAAGGATAGACCCCATGGGCAGGTTGATTTTGAGTAGCAGGATGGGAAATAACGAAAATGTGCCAGAATGTTTTGGAACCATTGGGGGTGGGGAGAAGGGGCTGGAATAAGGAAAACCCTCAGCTCAGACCTGGAAGTCAGCCTGGTTCCATCTGCTAGTGAGGCAGGACCTCTGAATGCACCCCAAAGGGGACTGCCCTGCAGGGGTGCTGCATTTCCTGAGCTCTCCCTAGGGAATGAAGTCCCAGGAGGGCCTGGAGAAGGAAGGTGGGCAGGACAGGCTGGGAGAGGGTGACCACTCTGCTGCAAGCCGGGGCGCTTCCGTCCAAGTCCTCAGCTCATTTTCCTCTTGTAAAGAGCCTTTGGAAACAGATGGACTATTTCCACCCAGCCCATTTTGTTCCTGGCGTATGCAAATGTGGCTCTTAATGAAAGCGGGGCTTGTTTTCTCTACTCCAGAGTCAGAACATTCAAGTGGGATCAAGGAGGGGTGCTTAGCTTTTTGTGCCTTCCTGAGCACTCCCAGGGGGCCGACAGTTCAGTCAAATTTTATTGTCCAAATTCTAAAGAGGGGAAATTAACTGAAGGAGCCAGCAACTTGTGTTTTGCCAGCTGTTGTCTCAGTGACAGTGGTTCTGTATAATCTGTTTTCTTGTGTTGACAAACTGAGGTATTGGGCCTAAGAAGAGCCTTTTTTACTGGGGAGAAAAACCTAAATAAATAATAAACAAGCCACTTTTTAAATACCAATCAAGTCTTAACATTATTGAGAAGTACTGACCAAATGCAGGCTAGTACCTTAAGTTTGTGGGCATCTTAAAGACTACTTTAGTAATTAAAAGATGTGAGACACGAAAAAGGCATAAAGAAAAACTTGCATATGGCCTCCCACCTCAAAGTGAAAATCAATGGTTTTACAATGCCCTCCATGCCCACACAGGCTGCCCCTTTTCTCTCTGACCTCAGATTCCTCCTCCTTCTCTAGCCCACTCTGCTTGAGTCATATCAGTGACTGCTTGAGTCATATCAGTGGCTTCCTAATCCTTTTATAAACATGGCTGCACATACTCACCCCAGGGCCTTTGCACTTGCTGTTCCCTCTGCCTGGCAGGCACTTTTCCCCAGATATCCACATGGATACTCTTTCTCTTCTTTCTGGTCTTAACTCTATCTGCTACAGGAGGTCCTCCCTGGTCACCCTAGCTGAAATTCCAATTCCCTCAACACCTTATCTTCCTCTCTTTGTTACTTTTCTCTTCGGTTATCACAAGCTGTTCTATATTTTTCTTCTTTACTTTGTTTATTCTCTCTCTCTCTCTGACTGAATGTCAAGAAGGGAAGGTTTTTCTTTTACCTGGTTCATGGCTATCACCATATTTGGAGTAAGTAATCAGTAAATATGTGCATGAGTCAATGGCTATAATGTCAGAAAAGGTGACATTTTCTCCAGAACAGAGACATCTTCGGGTGCTGTTATGCTGTTTGACGTGGGCACTTCTTTCTCAGTAAGGCTTCTGGCTATGGAAGCGCAAACTCCTTGGCACCGAGTCCTCACTTGAGTCATGAATATGTTCTTAGAAACTGTGACTTTAAGCAAAATGAGGTGTAATGAAATCAGGTCCTTGAGTAACATCATTTTGTTCAAAGTTGGCTGGGAATTTTTTTCCTCATTGACGTCATAAAGAAATGTCAAAGGAAGTGAGGTTATTTGAGGATCTGCTGTGTTTGAGCGCTGGGGGCTGCAGAAACTGCCCACTGCAGAATTACTTTTTGGGAAGGGCTCGCCAAGCCTGCTCCCTTGCCGAGATCACACTGTACTCCCCAGTCTTGTGTGCCTCAGTGGGATGGATCATGTGGCTGGTGAAATGAGATAGGAGGAGTGCCATCTCTAGGCCTGGCCCCCAATACAACCCTGGCTACTGTCCTACTTTCTCTTCAGTCCTTGAGTAATAAAGACTTGGTGGAAGAACCCCAGGTCCTAAAAGATGGTGGAGTCAACCAACGGATGGAAGAAGCCTGGGTGCTGAATGGCTAGAGGGATGGGTGCTCCCCTCCCCATACAGAACCACGAAAGAACGTGAAATAAGTCTTTGCTGTGTTAAGTCACTGAGATTAGGGGGCTGTTAAGCTACTGATACAGATATCAAGGTCATTATATTAGGAAGTGCTATCTCAGGCAGAAGCACCTAAGAGATATCTAATTTCCCTTTCTGACTGGGAGTCAGCCTTGTTGGGTGTTGGTGAAATTTACAGTGAACTGGCAACTGTGAGATGGGCAGAGATGGGGAGAAGCTCTGAGGACGCGTCTTCAAGTTCAGCTGTTTCTTTCTTTAATAATGATGCCAATTACAGACATGGGTTCTGGACAAACCCAGTCCCAGAGCTGAGATACCAAAAACTTACAGACCATTATTGTCATCAAGGTGTAGTGGGCTTTTGTGTGTAAATGCAAGTCACACAGTCTACACTCCAAGTTGAAGCTTTTGGTTTGACTTTTGTGAAACGTGGATACAATCCCCATGAGAGGGGGAAGCTCTCCCTCTTCCACTTGGGCCAGGGAAGTCAGAACGCATTGGCTACGCCACTCTGCCAGACCCTGTGGCCGCGGCCCAGAGCTGAAGTGCTCACGCTGCAAGCAACAGACCAGTCGAGACAGTGAAATGTTACCTGTCCAGCCAGCATTTCATAGAGCAGGACGCCATAGGCCCACCAGTCCACAGATTTTCCATATGGCTGATATGCAATTATCTGCATGAAAAAAAAAAATACGTCATCTACATTTAGAGGTCAACCGAAGAGCCTGGGTTCCAACACCTAAGTCAGCGTGTAGGCATGACACACTCAGGTCATGCAATGAGGTGTTGCAGTATCTCTTTGATTTCTACACTCAGGGACAAACACCCTCCAGACCAGACACACCGAGAACTCTCACCCCATGACTGGTTGTCCCAAATCTACTTTGGAGCTTCTCTTCTGAATCTACTTGAGGATGATGTCACAACTAGCTGAAGGCTTAGTGATCTTCACTGGTGAAAGAGATTTGGGCACTGACACAGATTTAATTTTTGAGAAAGTCAGAAGACTTTCAGAGTGAAGGTCTGATCATGAGATGATTCAACTGTGTAAGAGAGTTTTGCTAGAAGCTATAGGGATGATGATGATGATGGTGATCATGGAGAAAGATGGAGGAGGAACAGCTAGAGCAAAAATTCTAGTTTTCTTGGGCTGCATATAGTTCTATGGTATCTTTTGCACAATGAGGCTTTAAAATGTCTTGAAAAAGAGACATAAAATATAATAACCGAGCGCAAATTTGGACCTTGCCTGAAACTTAATTCAAAGTGTCAAAAGGGAATCAGGAAAATGAACAGAGGTCTTGACATTCAATGATACTAAGAGAGTATTGTTAATATTGTTAGAGCAGATAAAAGGGTGAGAAGTTAAAAGTGACCTTTTCAATTAGGGATGAGAGTGTTTATGGGAGAGAGAGGAAGTATTGATGGGTGAAATGACAGGATCTCTTAGATTTGTTTTAAATACTAAGGTAAAGCAGGGAAGGGGAGGAATAGATAAAATGAGTTGGCAAAACATAAACAGTTGTCAAACTTGGGACATGGGCACACGGGGGCCCTTTTCCCCTACTCCTTGTATGGTTGTGGCTCTCAGAAGCACTAGAATAATCCTATAACCTTTCCCAGTAGGAGGGAGGGAGGTTGTCCAATTTGAATTTCTAAGTGTGATGTGCTTATCAAAACACCGGCTCTACAGGGCCTCCCTGGTGGTGCAGGGGTTAAAGTCTCAGCACTTTTCAAGCTATCTCCAGCCACTGCAGCGTGAGTTTGATCCCTGGTCAGGAAGCTGACCTCTCCTGTGTGGCCCACTGCTCCCCTCAGCAGAGTATTTCAGTCAATCCACCTATTCTGCTCCCCACTCTGTCTCTGGTGAATCCTCTCACCCCCTGCACCTCTGGCCTACACCCCAGTTCTTACATGCTTAAATAACTAAATCTTTAAAACAAAAACAAACCAAAAATGTAACAGCAGCTCTGCTCCCTCCCAGGGAGGCTGCATTCCCAGTGCAGGCAATTCCCAGACCCATGGATCATCCATCGGCACAGAGCTCAGGACTTATTAACAGGCACCCAGCACGACCATGCTGCCATTGTGCATATAAATTTGACTTTGAAATGTTCTAGAATATTTTTTTTAATGATTCACTCTGTTTAATTAAGTGTCCCGGGACATGAGCAAACTTACTGCATGTCTGCCTATCTCCATTTCTCCAAGGTATTACTACTTCCCCTGGATGAGAAATCCATGCTCCCATGGCTTACCCATGTGTGGGTGGCAATGAGGGGGTACACTTGGGTTTGGCAGCTTAGCTTATTTCCTTGACAAGAAAATGATAACCAATGGAACCTACAAGGAAGTCTTTATTCCCTTTTAAAGCTACATTTGTTCTTTTCTGAAAACCTGGAGAAAGCACACACAGAGAACACCAAAATATCCCACCGAAATGAGTCTCTATTACCTGGAAATGATGCACGTCATTCTGGAAATTAGTGGATCAAAGGAGTTGCTTATTTTTATAACCTTTGATAGAATGGGAAATTCCCCTTCAAAAAGACAGGACTGATTTATACCTCTACCTAATAGCAGTTTCATCATCCTTTCTATCATTCATTCTTTCCAAAAAATAATCTTTTAAAAAAATTCTATGAACCACAACTATGATAGAAAAACTAGAATAAAAAAAATAACATTTTCTTACATATTTCTTACAGCTCTGACCGCTTCCATTTTCCGAGGCAATATACCCGCAGAACCACCCTTGCTGGGGAAGCCTTTTTTTTTTTTTTAAAAAAAAAAAAAGATTTATTTATTTATTCATATAAGAATTGGGGTGTAGGCCAGAGGTGTGGGAGGGGAGGGGGCTCACCAGGACAGAGTGGGGAGCAGAACAGGTGGATCCACTGAACTATTGTGCTGAGGGGAGCAGCAGGTGAGACAGGAGAGGTCTGCTGCACCATGTGGGTGCTCCCGGGCCGGGGATTGAACTTGTGCTGCAGTGGCTGGCGATAGCTTGATAGCACCGTGTCTTCAACCCCTGCGCCACCAAGGAAGCCTTTCTTAACCATAGAGATGAAGATTTTTGCTTTGTTTTCATTTTCCACAGGGTTGGGGCCTCTCTTTAATACCACTTACCAATTGTATAATCAAATAGTTCCTCTAATGAGTCTACCCTGCTAGATGCTTTTCTCTGATTTTTTCCAGCGAGGTAGATAATGCAATTACTCCTCTTTCACAGATGATAAAATTGAGGCTAAGAAAGATAGTTTCCCTCAGTCTCCAGGTTTGCTGAGTTAGTAAGGGGCAAGGAAGAATTTGCATTGAGGATTCCTGTTCTAAATCAGTTGTTTACGGCTGTTCGAGAGAGCCCAGGTGGAACTGATGAAAGTCTGATTAGAAGATAGTCACTGATGGGTGCGAGTCTGAGATACAGGTCCCTGAAGGGGATATGTTGAGCCTGGATTCCAGGACTGGCTTCTGCCTCACTTGAGCCTTCGATGGTGATATGGACATTTAAACATCCACCTCTAACTTAAATCAGAAAGAAAGCATTGCTGGGCGTCCCCTGGTGGTGCAGGTGGTTGAGCGCCATGCTGTGAAGCTGTCCCCAGCCTCTGCAGCACTGGTTCAATCCCAGCTGGCTGGCGAGGGTCCCACATGGCGCGCAGACCTCTCCTGCCACCCCCGCTGCTCCCCTCAGCAGTGTATTTCGTCAGTCTGCCTGTTCTGTTTCCTGCTCTGTCTCTGGTGAATCCTCTCACCCTCCCGTGAATCTGGCCTGTACCCTGGTTCTTGTATAAATAAATAAATAAATAAATCTTTAAAAAAGAAAGAAAGCGTTGCTTTTAGCACTACCCTCAGGTCTTTATACAAGGCAGGTGGGGTGAGGCAGACTGTTGCTCTGGGCTGGGAGTCAGCTGTGGGATGATCTAGACAGGCAACCACAGCAATCATTACCATTTTTCAAAGTTAGAAGGCAGCCCACGACTATGCCACATAATCACAGGATGACTATATAATTTTCTACTTGCCTAGAATAAAAAATTGTGGAAAACACAAAGTTAATGAGAGTCTGAACAAGCATCTCAATGGAGAATTTTTTTTAAAGATTTTTTTAATTTATTTATGCATACAAGAACTGGGGTACAGGCCAGAGTGTGGGGGTGTGAGAGTATTCATCAGAGATAGAGTGGGGAGCAGACAGACAGATTGACTGAAATACATTGCTGAGGGGAGCAGTGGGTGAGATAGGAAAGTCTGCTGTGCCATATGGGTCAGCTCCCTGGTGGGGGATTGAACTCATGCTGTAGTGGCTGCAGATAGCTTCATAGGTTGCATCTTAACCCCTTGTGCCACCAGGGAAGCCCTCAATGGAGACTTTCTGATGCCACATTCTACTTTTAATCAGTACATCATTTTACCTCATATGGGAGATGTTGCCTACTAGCCATTTGTTTAATGAATAGTGTAGGGTAAGGAAAAATGTCAGGCTTTTCTGCCTTCCTGCCATCAGGATAGATGATGGATCCTTGCGGTCCTGAATGCATGCCTGATGGCGGACACCTGGAGTAGAGTGTGGGCAGATGTAGATAGGCTTCACCTGGGCTAAGACTGGGCTTTTAAGGGCGGCGTCATGAGGACGCTAGCAGAAGCCAAAAGAGAAGCCAAGAAAGCAGCAGAGAGAGAAGCAAAAGAAGCAGAAGCCAAGAGAAGGCCAGAGAGCCCGGAGTGAACACCTGCTGGGGGCTGGGAGGCCTGCCAGCCTACCGGCCCCCCAGCGCCTCTACCTGCCGTGTACCTGGTAATCCCAATAAAAACCTGCAAAACCACTGAGGACTCTGACTCCTCCTTTACCCGGTCTGCTGGATCATAGAAAACCTGCACTGTGCCCAGTTCTGCCCTTACAAATAGTAAATAAACCAATGGATATGTGAACGGGCAGATGAATGAGTCAATGAACTTACATGTATTTGGATCTGTTTCTTTCTTGTCTTTCCATCTGTTTCTTCAGGAATATTCTCTATTTCCTGCATCTAAATGGCAGTAGCCTCGCCAACTAGAAATGTGTAAACCTTTGTGGAAATACAAAGTGTTCCCAAAATACAAGTATTCTACCCAAGGGAACCCCTGCTTATCCAGAAAGATCAGGGGGGATAATGAAACGAATGAATGGAAGGGGACTTCTGCATGCAAACTGTAGGGTCTTATTCAAGCATTAAGAACTATTAGAGTTTTGACCAGACGTTAGGTCCCTTTCCTTAATCTTAGTGGGAAATCTGCAGTTAGTCAAACTAGAAAATAACATTAAAAAAAAAAAAGACTTGAACGGAAGAATTTCTTCTTAAAAGTATCAGAGGACCCGATGTCTCAACTTGGGGCCATTCTCTGAAATGATAGATTCTAAGAACGTGCAACAGGTTTCCTTAAACAATTGTCTCATGCGTGTTCATCCCATCAATGGGGTCTCTGCAGAGCTGCATCTAAATGATAAAAATCAAAGAAAAACCCTCCATGGGAAATGTGAATTCCCCCAAGCAAACCCTTTCAGAGAAGCAGAAGCGATGCAATACGCAACATTGATCTCAAGAAGTTCCTGGGTAGAAAGAATGCTAAGAAAGAATCCCCTAGAAAAAACTAACCTATTTTTTACTCAGTGATTATTAAGATACTTCTCTAACA